GGAGACCGGAGACGGCGGCGTGGGTGGTCGAGAGGCGGCGGCTGCTGCCGGAGAGATGGAGACGCCGGCACAAGGAGAGACCGGAGACGCCGCCGACTAGGGTTGGATAGAGCATAGGGTCCGGTTCGACCAAGTAGTGGTCTGCTCGACCAATGTGGTCTGGTTCCACCAAGGCAACTTGGTCATTTTGGAATGTTTCTCTCTCCGATTGTTGTTTTTCTTATTTTAATGGAGGCGGTGTCCATTGGCAAACATTCGCGATTTTATAATGGTACTCGGCAAAAGCAAGTGTTGGCGGTGTGTTCTTGACCAATTTGTTGTTTTAGCGATGTCCCACAAACAAAAATTGCCTTTTATATATGATATGAATCTGAATAACATTCAAGAGATATAATTTTAGTAGATGTGAATGTGAGCATCCTGTTTGATCACCATGGGTTACTTACTAGTTGGAGCTAAAATTTAGTTTAAATTAGTTAAGGTTTGGCTAGCTACCTAGCTAATTAGGTAACAACTAGTCGTTGAGCAACTCCAAGAAACTCTCTAAATTTTTCCTAAATGCTAGGAATAGATTTTGGTGAAAAACTACCTTCCAATAGCTTCTCTAAATGGTTATCAAATATAGCCATCTTATATTCCGGATTTCTCGCTAGCAAAAAATAGAAGACGAGAATAACTCTCTAAAGTGCGTATAAGATATAGAAAGACTGTCGGAGAGTGAAAATATATAGAAAGTGATTTTTATACAAGTGACTCTCCAAATTATGATTTAGAGAGTGAGATTTAGAAGGGCTCTCGGAGATGCGATTGGCTAACAAATTAGCCTATTTATTGGCCCTTGTTTAGATTGTCTATAGCTAATTTTTAGCTGACTAACAATCAGCCTTTGTATCGAACATGCTCTAAATTTGGTTTTTTCTTTACGGAAGACAGCGAAAGAATAATTAATTAACCGCCGCGCGCCTGGCCTGAAGCCAAGCAAGATCCCCTCCCCCCACATGCGTGCAAGTACCCCTTGCGGTGCTAGCGAGTAGCGACTTGTTTTGTTTAGGAGCGAACGCATGGAGCCCCGTGGCAGTGCCGGAAAAAAGGTGGAAATTTTCACCATGACTGCAGGACACGTGGTGTTGCAGCAACAAAACCGCTGGTACTGGCTCTGGTTAGCGAGACCTGCGGATGGATTAGTTGAAAATTTTAAGAGACGGGACAGTGCACTGTAATAACATGACCATGTGAGCCTAGTTAGATTCAACAAATATTCTAATTATTAGTTCGAAGCATTTGTAGACGTCCGGAACAGTACATTGATGAACTGCATGCCGAGTGTAGAATATAGATTACTTATTGCAAGGTACCAGTATCTAACTTACGTGGTCCTTAAGCCCGAATCTTGCGATGGTAGATGCGTTCCTTTTCTGGCAATTAATACGCTACTTGAGACGAAGGTGGAGGTCAGTAATTCCCTGAATATCTTGAATGAGTCTCTCGATGATAAATACTTAGGGTTGCCGGCTTTAGCCGGGGCCGACAGAAGTGACTGCTTCCGACACCTTGCTGATAGAATCAGGTTGAGGATTAATGGTTGGAAGGAAAAACAGCTAAGTATGGGAGGGAAAGAGGTCCTGATCAAATCAATCGCTCAAGCCATACCAACGTTTGCGATGATGGTATTCAAAATTCCAAAAAATATATGCAAAGGGATGACGGATGCTATCTCGCATTTTTTGGTGGGGGGATGACAACGAGAAGAAGAGGATCCACAGGCAGGCTTGGTGAAAGCTGTGCATACCGAAGAACAAAGGAGGTATGGGTTTTAGAGATTTTCAAAGTTTCAATTTAGCAATGTTGGTGAAACAGGTCTAGAGGTTGCTTAGTGATCCAGAATGGCTATGTGCAAGAGTATTAAGAGCGAAATATTACCCTGATGGCAAACTACTCCAAGCAAGAATGAAGAGTGGTAGCTCATTTACGTGGCAGAGTGTTCTAGCGGGGTTGGAATGTTTCAAACGTGGCTATATATGGAGAGTTGGGGATGGTTCACAGATTAATATCTGGAATGACAACTGGATCCCCGGTAGTCATAATATGAAGGTTTTAACTTCAAGGGGCAATGTCTTAGTTTCCACGGTGGATGAGTTGATTAACCCCATTGATGGAAGATGGGATGTGCAATTGATTCGATCTATATTTTGGTCTATTGATGCTCAAAGAATTCTTCAAATCCCCATCGTTAATGGACGTGAGGATGTGGTGGCCTGGCATCACGACCGGAATGGCCTATTCTCGGTAAGATCAGCTTATCATTTTCCAATGGAATTATAAGTACGGAAATCTCAATTATAATGCAGCACCAGGCAGTACAGGCCCCAGCTCAGTATGGCGCCAATTGTGGAAGCTCTCAATTCCAAGTAAGATCAAAATCTTTGTATGGCGAGCTCTCCATGGGTGTACACCGTGCCATGTAATCTTGGCCAACAAACATATTTCCAATACGGGCAATTGCCCCAGGTGTTCAGCAGGAGCGGAGGATATTAAACATGCATTGTTCTCTTGTAGTCGAGCAAGGGAGGTTTGGTTCTCTCTTGGTATGTGGGAATCAATTGAAAAACTGCTGCTGATGGACAGATCAGGATCAGTAATAATTCAGGAGATTATTCGGCAAGGAGGTCTAGCCAAGGAGTTAAAAAATGTGGGCTTTGCTGAAATTATACTTACAGGTTGTTGGTTCATTTGGTGGCAACGAAGACAAGTTGTACATGGGGAAGAAATTCAGAACCCATCAAGAGCAGCCATGTCAATTGCAGTGATCTCAACAAATTATGCTTTAGCGCCTAAGATTTCGACCGTGGCTAACAATACTTGGAAGAAGCCGGCGGAGGGATTCTTTATGATTAATGTAGATGGATCCTTTGACGAAATTAAGGGGGTGGGAAGTACTGGAGCGGTTATAAGAGATGCCTTGGGCGGCTTTATCGCAGCTTCGTACATCTATATCTCTCATGTGTTGGACGCAGCTATGGTGGAAGCTTCAGCTTTGAGAGACGGTTTATTACTGGCTCAACAATTGGTTCCAATCGGGTGCAAATCCAAGCTGATTGTATGGAGGTGGTTGATACAATGCTAGGTGGAGGTTTCTCAGCTACAGCTTTGGCGGCAATATATGATGAATGTTGTCTGCTCTGGGAGGATTTTGCTGCAATTTCTATTAGCCACTGTAATAGGGAGAGTAATTCGGTAGCTCATGAGCTGGCTAGGCAAGCAATGGTAGAGGAAAGCTCTTGTGTTTGGATAGATGATCCCCCTGCATCTATTCGCCAATTACTTGTAAATGATGTAACTATTTTCTCGAATCAATAAAGTTTGCCGAATGGCTTAACCTAAAAAAAAAAGATGTGTTCCTTGTCGGTGCCTTGACAGATACTACCTCTAGAGGATTTAATTCTAGGACAGGTTTTAGTACAGCTCTCGTAAGTTTGGCCACATATGTATACAAATCTATTAATACTTATCACACTAGAAACATGTTATTATTAGTATATTTCCGTAGTGTTTGAAGCCATAATTGTAAATCAAGTCCCTCGAGTAGAAACTTGCAGCACATTCATCAGATTTTGACAGGCGACGGGGAACTACAGAGCGGACGAAAGAAACAAAAAGAAATTAGCCTAGCCGGCGAAAAACGATCCCGAGTTGGGTTTCCGTTGACAACTTGGGCCCAAGATAGCAGAAATGCTTCCAGGATACACGTCGCGAAGCTACAGAAATGGCCCAGTCGTGCCGTCGGGCGAGGCCCGCTGAGGCGCCACCATTGCCGAAAGCCCACAGGCCGAACGGGGGAGCGCGGGGCTGGCAACGTCACGGTCCTCACGAGTCACGATACGGGCTGGTGCTGAAAAGTGAGTGAAAATTCGGAAGACACACAGCACAGCAGACTGGCGGACGCCCGCGTCCCTCTGCTATCGCTGATACTGTGGCACTGTGTCAGTAGGCATTTGCCTCGCCAAATCCATCCATCGAAATCCTGCATGCCCTTCGCCGCCCAGCCCAGATTGCACGCAGGCAGCGTAACGGCACCGCGCTTTGCCTCTGCGACTGCAGGGGCCATCGACAAACAAAGCAGAGCACGCAGCGTCAAGTTTCTGTTTTTTGACGCGAGATGGTCGATGAGCTTCAGAAATGGCATCCATAAGATTCCGATCCTTTGGGCTGCTGTAATGGATCCAATCCACCGGTCACCGATGGATGGACGTGTGAACACGCACCAGATACATACAGGTAGCTCTGTCCGGGCGTGAAGTGGACGGACGGCCAACGGATGCAATGCAATGCCTTACTACATGTAGGCGTATCCGGTCGGCCCCGTCCGGCCGTTTGCCGCTGTCACGCACAGCACAGAGCTGCATGCAGGGCCAGGGGACCCGGCAGGTCAGGTGATGCGTGACCAAGCAGAAGCAGACACGACACGACACGACACGACACGCGACGCGTGGTGTGGTATCATATCATTCATCACTGCACATTGTACAAGCAGGACAGGAGCAGGGTGTGTCACGGGCTGGTCCAAGCCACAATTATCAGTAGCAGTACGAGACGAGCAGAGCGCAACACCAACGCTTGCAAAATCTGCTCCTGATTTGAGGTCGTCGATCGTCGATTGGACGAGATATGAGAAGAGCAGCTCAGCAACGGGAAGTTTACAAATGCATGAGTTTGAAGAAGAAGATGATGATGGTGCTCATCCTTTTGTACATCCATTCCATTCATTCTCTTATGAAGAAGAACAAGAAGAAGATACAAGCAAACGAAGCACTGTGGCTCCAGCACGGAGCAGCAGGAAGCATGGAGGAGCGAGACGACGCCTAGGCCTAGGCCTAGCTAGAGCGGCCTCCAGGAGCAGAGCTGCGTAGCAAGGGACAGGGAGGGAGCTTGCACCGTCGCCGTTCGCCGGAACGAACACGGACGGCGGAGTTCACGGATCTACGCACCTCTGAGCTCCCTGCCTACCGATTGGAGTCCGGGTTGGGGCCACTGGGGACCTCGTGCTTGCTGTCCTGGAGCCCCTGCCCCGCGTAGTTCCATCTCCCGCGCGGCCGGGGCCGGGGGCGCCACGACGACGACCTCGCCGCGGCCGGCCGCGGGAGGGCGCGGCGCCCGGCGGTGGGCCACGAAGACGAGAACGCGACGGGGAACTCCTCCGTCTCTTCGTCCCCGCGCCGAGCCGCCGGCGCGAACAGCACGAGGACGGCGCAGAGGAAGCCGCACAGGAGGAGGACGAGGAGCAGCGGCGGTGGCGGCGCGGCGCGCGGTCCTGTGGCGCATTGAGCTCCCGCCATGAGCAGGAGCCGCGGCGTCTTCAGTGGCTGGAGCAAGAACCGTGGCCAACGCCCATGGGCCGAGCGACCGAGCACCGGGCAGCGCGAGCGAGACGGCGAGACTGTGGGAGAGAGAGAGAGCAGCCAAGCAAAGCAAGCAGGTAGAGTGTGTGTGGGTATGGCCGTGGCCGTGTGGGTGTGTGAGCTCGTTCACTTCACTCCACAGTGCTACGTCCCGGGTGGGGTGATATTTGTGACACAGGGGGCGGGGCGGCGGGGAGAGGAGAAAGCTATCGTCGGGCTAGAGTAGAGGGGATGACCACACTCTCACTCTCCAGAGACCAGGCAGGCATGCCCCTGAGTTTTCTGAACCTCTCGGCAGGGCCTCTGCAGCTGCTGCTGCAGGTGGAAAATGAGAGGCAACCATGTGCGGATGTGCATGCAGGAATGCAGGATGCTGGAGGGAAGATGCAGGGCGGCAGGAGCATTTTCTGAAGAAATACTCCTACTATATGGCCAGGTGATCCCATCCCATGTGTGTGCATTTGACTGACACCATCATCACCATACACTGATGGCCTGTTGAGTGAGCACCCGTTGTCGCTAGAACACCACCCTATTCGCTAACGCTGAAATTTGGCTTACGCTAATGCATATGCTGAAATGTTGTGAAAGAAAGAAAAACACAGTACATGCTGAAAAGTAATTCTGAGTAAGTGAACATGAATGGGCGCCGCATGCCTTTCGTCCGTTCCTTCCTTCCTTGCAGGCGCATACGTACGTACTCATCATTCGTAACGGAATGTTGTTGCAGTAGACTCCAATGAAGGCAAACCACGGAGGACCACTGCACTGCACATAGTTTCCAACTGTACGTACTCATCATTCGTAACGGAATGTTGTTGCTACAGTGTTGCTACAGTATTCGGCGCGGCGCAAATTCTGGGCAACTCAACACGGCCAAGGTGGCGTCGAGCACTGCAGATTTGAAAAAAGTTTACCACGGGATGGGAGGAGAGCGCCCGAAAGGGGAGGGGGCGAAAGCAGAGGATGGAAAAGACGTAAGATGGATGGCATCAAATGGAAGCTTTGGTTTTGCAAAGGCTGTAAAGTGCCAATGCCCATTGACGGGATATATCTACTCCGCATCTATCTATCGCTGTTACTCACTCTCTCAATGGTAAATCGGTTTCTGAAGTTACGAAACAATTTTTATTTCACCGAGTCTATAGAAAAGCAGAGGGTCAAAGTTTATGATCCAAATTTAGTGTCAATAGATTAGATATACAATCATAAACTATATTTTTTATAACGTAGTATTCATTTGGAATATAAATTAAATTTGATTTCAAACAACTTTAAGATTTGATTTATTTATTCAACAATAGAGGTAGTACTCCCGAGCAGGTAGCACATACCCCCTCAGTCTTGGGCATGGCAAAGAAAATGATTTGAAATATACTTTGACCATTAATTTTCTACAAATGTGAACCCTAATGATAACATCTTTCATGTCATCCGTTCCAGGTCAAATTGTATAATTTCTTTAGAAAGATCTGGATACCCAGTTTTGATTAATAATAAGAAAAAAGTAGCAAACAACTATTTCATACACGAGGGGCGCCACCCTCCACAGTGCGGAGGGTCGAGGTTTTACATCAACTTATTACACACTAGGAAGTCGCACAACCGTTATATGCTTTTCCACGTATCCTAATACGCAGTGTATTTTGAAACGTCCTTCTGTTACTTTTAACCGTCATGGAATTGGTAAGCCTATTGACATACGTATTGTGTATAGAGAGAAAGTCATTTTTGTACTAATTTTTTTTGCCAACAATTGATGATATTACATATAGTACAGTTTAGAACATAAAACTTGTGTCGGGTTCATAAACCCGGGGTCCCTCATGGATCGGCTTTCCAGCAAAGGCTCGGCCCAGCAGACGACGTTGCGAACGACGCGCAGCTCCTGGGCCGGCCCAAATACTTAAACAACATGCCAGAAGGGCAATCCAATCTCCGACCGGAAGGCCTGGCCAAGGAGGAACAACGCTCGCTTCCGACTCCGGCCCGCCTCTCTGACCGGAAGGCCTAGCCAAACACCGCCTCCAACTCCGACCCGCGTCTCCGGCCGGGGATGCACCGAACCCCTGCTTATAGCTCTTCTCCGACTAGTGCAGTCAGAGCCGACTGGAACCAACTGATCGGAGACGCCCGCTCGGTGAGGGTCAGGAAACGCACGGAGCAAGTAAGGCATGGCACTCAAGTCGACCGCGATACCGAGAACAATGCCCTGCACACCTGTAGGACAGTAACCGACAGGACATGTCAGAAGGGTGCCCTACAACCTTCCAGCCATGCCAGAACCCAAGCAGTGTTGTGGGCGCCGACATTTGCCCTACAGTGTTGTGGGCGCCATCAACTCCCATACCAGACAAACGCGGTAAGGCTCCCCCCACATGCCTCTGGACATCAACAGTGTTATGGGCGCCGTCATCTAGCATACATGGTGAATACGGTAAAACCTCCCACACGCGTCTAACAACAACAGTGTTATGGGCGCCTACCATCAACTTGTACCCGACGGCGTAGGCAACAAGACTTAGTAGCATGCGTACTGTCGGGGATCTAATACCGGGGTACCTAATGAGGTGGAACTAATGACCATCGAACGTTGACACTTCCCGTTAGACGAGAACGCTACTGCGCTTCTTGCCCGAACGAAGGAAGATTGGTTCCGCCTCGCCCGACGTTCGAGGGCGGGCTCCTCCCCGCCCGACGGCTGAGGACTGGCTCCGCCTCACCCGACCCCTGAGGGCGGGCTCCGCCCCGCCCGACGTCCAAGGGCAGGTCCCGCCTCACCCGACGACTGCACCATGCTCCTTCATAATGACGAGCACAGGGTACGACAGGACATTCGAGTCAAACGCAGTACCAAGGGCCATGCCCCGCACCGCTGCAGGAAAGTACCGTCAGGGTACGACGGGACGAGCGCTTTAGACCCTTCCAGGCATGGCAGAGTCCGAATAGTGTTGTAGGCGCCGGCTTTCGTCCTACAGTGTTGTAGGCGCCGCCTTCAGCCCTCGGGCGCGGAGCCTGACATAAACATACGACAACCACTACGGTCCAAAAAGAGACTCGCGTCCTCTACAGTGACAAACGTGTAGTCACCGCACCGTTCGCTCCCCACAGGGCTGCAGGTCAACACCCCTGTCTGACACGCCACCCAAGGGGGCGGGATCGGATGTGACCACTTGTTGATCAAGTAAGGGCGTGACGTCATCAGCACACAGGCGCCCGACAAACGTGCCAATCCCTGACACCATCTGGCCGTGTCAGCGAGGCTGGCTCAGAGGAAAAGGAAGACCCAACGCCTTCGGAAGGGCTTCTTGGCCTCTGGTTTTTCCCCTTTTTCTGAGATGTAACCCCTGTCTTCCCTTGGTCTATAAAAGGGAAGGCAGGGCACCCCGCTAAAGGGACAGATCAACTCACTAAGATCAGTTCAACACACACAACACATCACGCATACAGCCAAGCAGCGACCAAGCTCTTGGCGTCCTTTCGACCATTCCATCAGGGACTTAGGACCTTTCCCTCTCTCGACCGTTTGTACCCCCTACTACGAACCTTTTTCGGTACTAATAACATGAGCAGTAGCAGACTGGACGTAGGGACATTCAGCCTAAACCAATATAAACCTTGTGTCCTTTAGTGCACCATCCGGGCCTAATGCGCAACAATTATAAATTTACTAGTCGGTATTTGTTCGAAACACCGATAGTTGGCGCACTAGGTAGGGGCCTTTGCGCGTTCCAAACTAGGCCATAGATCGCTAACCACGGCATTGTCACGGTGGGAGGAGAGTTGGTCTTGGCTCATGTCACCATCCAAGCTCTCCCCTCCATCGGCCTCAACCATGAGAGGCTTGGGCGCCAGCTCGGTGTATCCCTCGAACCCCAGCCGTCCAGGGAGGACTAGCGTCGCCTCACCCTTTCCAACGCCAACGACATAACACGGTCTTCCGGAGAAGGATCCCTCTCTCCGGAACACCACGTACGGAGCACCCCGATAGCGCTTCTTGGACGCCCATGTTACGCGAAGTTCATGGCCGTCCCGAACTATACATACCTCAAGCTGAAGATGCTAGGTCCCCGTAGGGTCATCACCGTCGGCACCTCCTTCCAGCGTGCCTACGAGTGCAAAGTCGAGTGCTGTGGTCACGCCGCAGCAATCGTCGCCTCCGGAGTGCTCGCCACCCTCAGGGAAGAGGTCACCGAAGAAGCGCCAGACGCCAAGAAGTCGATCAGTCGTTCACACCGATAGAGGGCTCTAAGGAAGTCCTCGTAGACCCCAACAGCTCTGAGGGCAAAATGGTACGCATCGGTACCATGCTATCCTCCGAATAGGAAAGCGCGCTCGTTGACTTCCTCCACGACAACAAAGACATCTTTGCATGGAAACCCTCGGATATGCCAGGCATTCCGAGGGAGGTCGCCGAGCACACCTTGAAGATTCGCCCAGGCTCCAAGTCGGTAAGGCAACGCCTGCGTCGCTTCGACGAGAAGAAGCGCAGGACCATCGGTGAAGAGATAGCAAAAGTATCGGCTGCCAGGTTCATCAAGGAAGTATACCACCTAGAGTGGTTAGCTAATCCCGTTCCTGTGTGAAAAAAGAGTGGGAAATGGAGGATGTGTGTTGATTATATAGGTCTCAACAAGGCATGCCCAAAGGATCCGTTTCCTTTGCCATGCATAGACCAAATAGTTGACTCTACCTCAGGGTGCAAAACCCTTTGCTTCCTTGACGCGTACTCCGGGTACCATCAAATCGCGATGAAAGATTCGGACCAGCGCGCGATGTCTTTCATCACCCCCTTCGGATCGTTCTGCTACGTCACGATGCCATTCGGTCTGAAGAACGCTGGGGCTCTGTACCAACGCTATATGCTCAAATGCTTCGGAGACCTCATTGGGTGAACTGTTGAGGCCTACGTCGATGACATCGTAGTTAAGTCCAAA